GGATTCTATAATGAATCCACCTTCCTCGTCTTTTTCTCAATAGCAATTCTTATAAAATAATTGGTTCTATTTTATGGAAATCATGTCATTATACTCTACAATGACCTGCCATAATCTTACACTTAACGGAATCAACTATCAACAACAAAAATAAAATAATTACTAAGGTTTATATATCTATAATTTCTAGAAAACATCGTGATAATATATGCATATATGCAATAAAATTTTCACAACAACAACTAAAATGCTATACAAGTATATATGTATAAATTGTAATCCAAAACTGTAATATATTAGTCTAGTTTGTTGATCAAACAACCCTACCAAAATCACTACAAAAGTAGTCTCTAATTAAACCACCATCCCACAACATGGCTCTCCACATGCTTAACTCCTCAAGCCTATACTTGTCATACTCTCATATAAACATAATTATCATAGTCCAACCATCAAGAAACATACAAGGGTAAGCTAGAGTACAAAAGGATAAAACATAGCACAAGTATAAAAGTAAAAGTATTTATACTACCCATCAACATGTAAAACCATACACATATCACTTCATGGCCTACAATCTAGCCACACACCAAACATCTCAATATGACATTCAACAACCTTACAAAAGTAAGCAACTTACAACATATGATGCATCATATTTCACCACATCAATGTTATTCAACCATAAAATCAACAAGCATATGAACACCATCAAATCACACCACATCATATGCATACACCTCAACTAATGTGTCATCACGCATTCACCTTCGGATATTTCCTATAACAAAGTGAGCAGTCTCAGTAACCTGATCCTATTGAACTAATTAACACGGCCTTTTTACACCTACTAGGTCAATAGCCAAATTAGGATACTAGCCTCTAACATGGTTTCTTAGATATCGCTATTTAAACTAGGAAGTCTAGTATTCCAAACAAGGTAAAAACAACTTGGGTGTGAGTTTAGCATGACATTAGCTTGCATAACTAAGCCCTTTATGGAACTAGCCTACAAACTACCATCCAAATACTACACTCTTCCATTACTCAAATAAGGACTAAGCCCCCGACCTTGTACCTTACTCAATTGGTCATTTTATAGATGTATGCTTCAACCTTACCCATATACAGATCAACATTAGTCACTTGTACTCGATATGCCTCAACCTAACCGCATATTACATCAACTAAGGTTCAAGAGAAGACTCAGATATCCACTTCAAAAGTCAATTAGAAGGGTTTTCTACAAATCGAGCTCTCAGAGCACCACACCAATATTCTCATAATGGGATATCCAACTTTTGAAAACATCATTTCCTCTAATCCTAAGTCAATCAACATGCCTAAATGTCTATAACATTCTTAGCATCACACTTTAACAGTGTATCAATACAATATGCCTAAATGTCTAAAACATTCTCAACATCACACACCTTAATAGTGTATCAACATAACATACCTAAATGCTTAAAACATTCTTAACATCAACATCTCACCAACATTCATCTATGTGCATTGCCCAAGGTCAATGGATATAGATCTAACAACTTTAACCAACTTACAACACACAATGCACCTCAACAATTTAACCATATAAACCTACATATATTATCCCAAATTAATATACATAGACCTAACCACCCCTAGTAACATACAATATGCAATAGATTCAACTAACTTATCCATATTCACCAATTAACCATGAAAACAAGTCAATATAAGACAACTTACACTCGACACTATCCAACCTACGCCTGATGCCATTGAGACATGGAGCTCTTTGTTTCATCCACACTCAACACCATTCTTCTCGTGTTCGACATGGATGAGGTAGGGAACCCCTGAGCCCCCATGCCTAGTGTGTAAAAGTCCATGTCTGGCCCCAAGTTAGGCAAAGATTAGTCTTTCTCTTCATGCTCGATGTCACTCCTTTAATGCTTGGTGCCCATTTAGGTAGAGACAATTCTCTCACTTCATGGTTGGTGCCATTCAAGTTATGCTTGATGTGATCAAATCAGAGGCTATTCCCTCCTCATGTCAAGTGCCACCAATCCTTTTGCCCGACATGAACAAGATAAAGGTTTTTTTATCTGAGCCACGTCCAGTGCGATGATGAGTTCTACACTTAACAGACCTTAACTTTGGCTCAAATAACCACCTAAAACATAGAAAATCTCAAGCATGTAATGTAATATATCACACTTATACATCATCAACTACTCATTTCTCATCAAATTTTCAACATGTAACAACTAATGAGATCAAATCATGCATTTCACCTTCACCATTCAACAAGAACACCAAAACTTTCAACATGAGCAGGGTCTCCTCCTCTGGATTCCCTCTTTCCTTCCCTCTCTTTCTTTCTTTCTCTCTCTCTCTCTCTCCTCTTTCTCTCTCTAAGATTTCACCTTCTTACTCAGTATAAAATTTTCACCCCCCTTGCCCCTATTTATAGGCAACCTGGTCCACCCGGAACGACCCGTATTGAATTCGGAACGGCCCGTTCCGGATCCTTCGAATCTGTGCAAAATTTTCAACTGGAACGACCCGTTCCAAAATCGGAATGACCCATTTCAAAAAGCAGAACGGCTGTTTCAAAAAACAGAACGGCCCGTTCTGAAGTTCACATTAACACTGATTGACTATAGTTGGAATGGCCCGTTTCCAACTAAGGTCTTTAGGCAATTTCATAACCTTGGAACGGCCCGTTTCCCATTGGGAACGGCCCGTTCTGGAAATACAAAAATGGGTCCTTTTCTTCTTTGGAACGGCCCGTTCCACTTTTGGAACGGCCCGTTCTGGTCCCTCAAAAACAACTTATTTTCATTGTCTGGAACGACCCGTTCCACTTTTGGAACAGTCCGTTCCAGCCTAAAATAGAATTTATAAAAATTTTCATAAATAATTTTAAATTAATACAAACCTCTATAAAACCCCTTTAATTAATAAATAATAATCAACAAGAAAATTCAGGGTGTTACACTAAGTTTCTCTCAACTTGTTTTTTGTTCTTAACATTCACCACCATAACTCACAAATGCTTTTTTCCTATCATAAGCTTTTATGATCTTGTGTACCACAAACATGATATCTAGAGTTATACCTATATGTTATCTAGTTGATCTTAGTTTTATTAGAAATCTAAGATAATTATCTAAAACCTCTATGTTGACCTCAAGTGTTGATTTTACCATTTACTATACTTAAACATTACAAAATCGTAAAGTTTTTTTTTACTAATGTACATTGACAACTTGACCTTTAGTTGCTGATTTGATCATATATTAAGTTATAGACATTCTTTTTTAGTGATTCCAAAGCCATTAATTAGCTAACATCTATATCTAGAACTCTCATGAAGACTACACAAACTAATTCAATTTTTTAAAAGGTGCATAACCGTGCATAAATTCAACACAGGTAAGCTTATTCTAACATGGGCATGCTTCTTACTAAGAATGATTGTGCTATCTAAACAAAGTCCCAAATTTGTTTGAAACTTTGTCTAAAGCACCAATTTCACCTCTAAGCTCTTTATTTTTTTTCTCCACATATTCACAATTAAATCACATTTTAACACTTCTATAAAATTTATTGTTGACAAGAATTGATTCAATTTAGGCATATACAATAATCACATAATTAAAACCCCCAAATTCATCACCCAAGAATCTTACACTCACAAAGCAACAACGAAAATCCAATTCATCAAAATCATTCGGTAATTCCATAAAAAAAATCAACAATATGCATTAAATATTTTCAACATGCAATTTAGGTTGTTCGCAACCCCTATATTCATACAATAGAAACCTAAAGAAACTTAGGGGTTGTCTCACTACCCATAATTCTTATACATGAAATGTGTGATCTCACACCTCTAAATGTTACTCCTCAAGGTTCTCCTCTATACAACTCTCTTTGAAGCATCAGAAAAGATAACAGAAAATATGAAGTGTTTACTCTAACCCCTAAAACTTATAATTTGAATTGGCTAAGCTATTAGACTGGTCTTCTAGAGTCCAAACCCAATACTTAAACCATCAACATACCCTCACAACCCAACTTACCGCATCCCATTTACTATTATAAAAGCAACTTTATTTATTTTAAAAGTCTAATTAATCAAATTATTTAAGTAAATAAAATAAATTGTATATTAAACAACTATATAATTTTTTTAATGAAAAAATAGGGTGTTACATTGCATAATAATAAGCACCAAAAATATTAATTTTAAACTTTTTAGTAATGAAAGTCAAAGAAACATTTTTATAAAGACTAAAAGCAAAATTTATTAATTTTATAAGAGATCGAATATATATATATATA